TGTCATCSCATGAATGCGAGAGAGATAAGAGTACATTCCTAACTTTCTTATGAAGACAAAAGACTTGTTTAAACTTCAAGAGTTCTCACTGACAAAAAGATTTCAAACCCGACACCCACTGCAGCTCAAACACGGTGTTACGAAAGAAATGGGAGGCAGGCACAAAGAAAGATGTATTCACTGTTCTCTCCGTCTTTTATCATAACTAGATTCAGTAACTCATTAGATTAATTTGTGTTGTTTACTTCGAGCTTTTACCGCTGCCGTTGGCCACATTAAAACTGTATTGTCTGCTAATTAGGAGGAATCATGAGGTGGTGTCTCCACGGAGCTGGCTAATTTTTTTAAGACCATTAYGTAAGGGCTTAATCTGACAGATATTTTGGGCGAATTGGAGAGCTTGTCAAAAATGTCTGCCATWACAACCAATTCACATCAGAGAATACCTCTGGCATGACAGCGAGAACAAGGCATGTACCGTTTAGTTAAGTTATAAAGTACTGTGTATGACTGCACTGAGTTTGAGTTTTTCCTCACACAACCAGCTCCATGAAGTTTCCTGCTCAACTATTMTGCAATGCACACGTTTTAAGGCACTTTGGGGGCCCTAGGCAAAAGGGGCCTCAACATAACATGAATGGCCACCTGCTCAAAGTCAGGAACCACAACATACTGTAGACACATTGATTTTTAAGTCAAACCACACTTTAACATATTTGGTACCACTTTWAACTAAGGCTCCCCTTATAGATGGCTTATAAATGGTTTATAGTACACTATTAAACATGTTTAAATGTCATAACTGAACCTTATAGTGTATAGTTTTACACTTTACAATAAGGCTCCCTTTTATAATTGTGGATATGTATAATGCATTTACACAGTACAGTATTATATGTAAAATACGCGTTTCCAAATCATTGTTCTTATGAGGTAGAAACCTAATCTGAAATGTTTTAGATGTAATATATACATGAACAGATTTGGCATGAAACCAGACAGTTTCGCCTCTCTTGTCCTTAATCAATACATAATAAAAAATTATTTATGAAGTGTTTACAGATTAATTAATAACCTACCTATAAGCTATTTGTAAGCCATCTGTAAGGGGAGTCTTATTATAAAGTGGTTCCAAATATTTTTAGTGCAAAACTTTGCTTAAATTTGAGCATTTTGAAATCCCACCACCATTCTATGCAAAAAGCAGTGTAAAAAAAAATGCATATATTGTATATCAGGGGTGCCCAAACTTTATCCCCAGAGAGGGTCAAAGTGAAAATCTGATGGCTGCAGGCCAAATGCAATATAAAACATGAAATGCAAATACTTTTCAAGTAAAGTTTTTTTTATTTATGATTAAGCTATTAGTCAATGTGGTGGTCCTGATCAGTGGAAATACAATGTTTCTAAACAGGATGACAAGAGATTACAATCTACACTGATTACAGCCTAAAACCAGGTCAACTGTTTGCGGGCCAAATCAATTGGCTTGGTGGGCCCACTTTGTGCATGCTGTTGCCAACATACATAACAAAAGTGCACACACTTAAGATGAACTTTTTCACTAAGGCCATCACGAGTCAAATACATAAATGTTGCTTGCAAGGCAAAAGCTACCACGTCTTCCATGTTCAAAGACCTGAGAACATCATGGCAGACCTCRTGTACGTTTAGTTACTCGGAAGGGGCCTTTTGAGGGAGAGTCTGCTAAAAGTGTTCTTGCACCTTCCTGTATTGACCACCGTAGAATTTAAAGGGATGATTACAGTTTTTTGTATTTAAGACAATCAATCAAAAATTGGAATACTCTGGAATAGTCCAGAGTCAGCAAAATCAACTGTTACAACTCAAAAACTTGGAAGTCCCTGACCAGCCCCAGGAACAATATCCAATATGGCTGCACTGTGCAGCAGTGTCAAACGTTTTATTTTCTTCTGCTCTGTTGGTTTGTTTCTCATTAAAGAGAGCTCATTGTAGAGTTTGATCCTCGGCTCACATTTGAGGATCGTATCAAAGACCTTTTACAGRATCTCTTTTCTCCTCCTCAGTAACACTGCAGAGCTTTGTCCTGTGCTCAACCTCTTCCATGCAGTAAAACTACAAAAACAATACAAACCAACAAACAAAAATTCTACTTTAACAGCAGAAACGAATGAAGTCCACATAACTGATTTACTGTTGATGAAGTGATATAACCACGGAACAAAACAGCTCCCAGTTTACCATTTAAAACCCTTCTGCAGGAAGCCCGAAGCTACAAATCTCTCCTTGAATTACTGCTATCTTCTCATGGAAGCAAACAAAAATGCAAATCAGTCTTTATCACAAATATTTGCTGTGGAGAATGGCAATGCAGGAACTTTTAGGAACAACACTGCAATTAATTCCAGTCTGACACCCGCACTTTCATACGTTGCTTTTTTACACAAAAGGCAGCAAGGCTGTTTGAAGGAGGATGCGATGTGATGTTGCTCTCTTGAGATTAGGCAAAAATGGCTAGTTTGTAGTTTGTACTCCTGGTGTGTTTCAAAGAGACTTTCAGCATGTAAACACAAACAGTTCTTTACCGGAACATATTTTTGTAGTTATAAGCTGGTAATTCTTGAGAATGCTTGCAAATCTTTCCTTCCTCAAATATTTGAAGATTATTACTCTTTTACCATTTATATCTTGTGTCTCATGCTTCAAAGACTGCAAGGTGCATTTATGATAAATTCATATTCAGTTCAATTCAATGAATGTGGTTTTATTGTGGTAATAGGTAGGTAGAAAAAATTATATTTGCTCACAGTTTAAAATTATAAACATGCAACAGTGATTTGAAAAATAGAAGGGGTGGGTGTGTGTAACAGAATAAGTCTTACCTTTAACATTTGAAATTGTTGAATCGAAACTGAAATTTTAAATTTACAAACGATTTCTAAGCAAAAAAATAATTTTTTTGAAAATTCTTTAGTCCAGATGGGGGATGGGGCTAGAAAAGCACTGCTATAATGCCACATATCTATTATTAGCTCGGGCGCTAATGCCGATATCACCATAAATACTGTATATGTATTAGCTAGGGTGTGTGTGTGTGTGTGTGTGTGTGTGTGTGTGYGTGTGTTCACTTTGGCGTTAACGCCATATCACCATATATGTATTAGCTCGGTAGCTAATGCAAAAGTTGACAAGCTAAGCTGAAGCTGATGTTCTTCCATGAAGCAGCTCTGTTGTCCTCCATCCACATTTTTAGGTTGAGGTCGAGTCATTTTTACATTCTTCTCTCAAGCAATCTGGTTTAATTTAAAAGAGCTGATCTTCAGATATTGTCCAACATTAACCTTCAGGATTGACAGAACTCGCTCCAGCCTCACACTAGGTCTGGAGAACCTAGTAAACGTCATCATTTACCCAATTTGCTTTGCGGTGTAAATTAAGCATGATGGTGCCATTCTTGGGACATTTTTTTTAATTTATAAAAACTAAGCCTAAAGGATTTTGCTTGCTCACTTTTTATGCCTATAACATCACTGTGCCAATGCTTAWCAGACATTTAATACTGGTTTAAAAAGTCTAAAGGGTCACACAGATGTGGTCTGATTATAAAACCATGAACAATGCCTTATAGTGGCAGGGTCTTCAGAAGTAACCCCATCCACTATTACAAAATAAAAATGGCACTAAGCCTTTTAACATAGTCTTTGATGGGACCTTGAAAGTCATTTCCTCAAAGAAAATGAAATCTTAAAAAGGCATTTATTTGCCTTAATCAAAACAATTCTCCCCTTCAGAACTAGTTCAGAAAACCTAATGAGACACACGCTCCCCCGGCACCTTTTCCAACAGTTTCCTGCTAAAGTAAAAGCCAAGTTCACTGCAAGTTTTCAGATAAGTTTGCTTTAATAGAAACCACATACACTCAGGAAAAGTTCATTTATATCATCCTTTATGGTTAAGTCTTATAATATTAAAATACTCAGGGAGATAGAGGGTGGGGATCATTTAAGCCCCTTTTAATTGAAAAATCTTTCCAATAACTCACTTTTGGTGTAACCTTTTTTTTAATCAGTTTAAAGATGAAGTAGGTAGACAGTTGCATAATTTGAAAAGTGTCTGAAGTGCTCTCCCACAGTAATGAAACATATTTTTCACATTTAACTGGGGCACAATGATCTGCTGCCAGGATGAATTTATTTTCAGAACAGGTTTTAAGAATCAGAAATGTGACTCTCTCTCCTCAATTTGTTCAATTGACATTTAAAAAAAATGAGTCAAGCATTGAAATAAAACCTGTTCTCATATTTTCTTTAAAGGACTTCAAGTTATAAAAGCACAATTCCTCTGAGTTTCTTCATCTTAAACGTTTCGACTTCAGGTCATTTACAATCTGCTCCACAAAGGCGTTTGTCCCGAACCTTCACGAGTTTAAACAGGGCAAAATTTATTTATTTTTTTTCCCCCCTTCAAAACAACTGTGTTTCACCTCGTACAGAAGAGCTGATAACTGGCTGCGACACTCAAACGCGATGCACACATTTTCATTCTGTCCAATTTCAGAGTAATTGCATCTTCTACTCAGAGGCGATTGGATTGCTCATGCCTCRAGAAGTTTCAATGACAAGTGATTTTCTCTATTCAACGAAGGCACGCGAAAAGGTACAATCTTCTTCTTTTGAAGAAACTCGCTAAACAACTTCTTGGAGTTGGAAGAAAAAGAGTCCAGCGACTAAGTTTTTACAGCTCAAGGTGATCAATAAAACCTGGAACAGATCCATGTGTGAGAAGAACCAGGAACAATGTCATCAATGTACAAATAGAAAGTAATAATGTTAAAGCAACCAGAAGGAAAAAAAAACCCTTCATAGTATTTATAGGAGTAAGTATTTTGTTTAAACAAAATAAACACACTGATGCTTATTTTTTATGTTCTAAAGGATTCAGATATTTAGTTTTAAGGAAAACAGAAAAGGACAGATTAAAGGAACAAGTCCAACAACAAACAAACTCAGAAAGCTCACCTCCCCAGTTCTCCAGGCTGAAAAGATTGTTGAAGCTGTGGCTGACGAACGGAGAGATCTTCTTCAGGTCGTGGGTTCGAACTCTGGTGGCCAGAAGTGACTGGTGAGCATCCCTGAATGTGGTGTCCATCAGCAGCAGACCCTGGTGAGCCCGCACAGCTTTTGCAAATCCCTCAGGACCGTCACGCAGCAACACGTCACGGAAACCTACAGGTGGGTCACCTGATGGTGACACGGGGGAAACAAGAGGGTCATTAATGTGGAAATACTAAACAGAACAGCTAAAGCTACTGAAGAAACGACTGGTCCAAATTACTAACAAGAATATTAACAAGTCCCTTAAACAGATGGTTCAGATCTCTGTAAGATGAATTATGTGGAAAGGTTCTGAACAATTAACTTTTTAAAAACCTCAGCTCAGAGAAACTGCAGAGGCTAAACAGCCACCTTGTTGAGCTGTGAACTAGACCAAGCTCCATCACCAGCTACCAGGCCCAGCCTCAAGACCAAGACCAGGCACCATCACCAGCTACCAGGTCCAGCCTCAAGACCAAGACCAGGCACCATCACCAGCTACCAGGCCCAGCCTCAAGACCAAGACCAAGCTCCATCACAAGATACCAGGCCCAGCTTCAAGACCAAGACCAGGCACTATCACCAGCCACCAAGCCCAGCTTCAAGACCAAGACCAGACACCATCACCAGCTACCAGGCTCAACCTCAAGGCCAAAAACAGGCTCCATCACCCACCACTCTCAAGGCCAAGACAAAGCACCATCACCAGCTACCAGGCCCAGCTTCAAGACCAAAACCAACCTCCAGAGCCAAGGCCAAGACCAGGGTCCACCAGTAGCCACTCTGAAGGCCAAGACCAGGCACCATCACCTCTACCAGGCCCAACCTCAGCCTCAAGGCCAAGAATAGGTTCCGACACCTGCCACCAAGTCGGTGCTAACTGTTTTCTTCCTGTCCTCTGGTACCTTTGGTGGCTGTGATTCATGTGAGTTCCATCCACAGCAGGGCCACCTTCAACTACATTTTTTATTATGAGTGAGGAGGAAGACATCAAATCAAATAGATAGGAAATACTAACTTGAGTTTATTACTAGACTAAACTCAGTCTTGAAATCAGGCTATTTACAAGGAATGGATTTAAAAATGTCTCTTCTTCATTATATATTATTCTTAATTTGGAATAGTGTGAACAAAGTTTTTCTTAATCTAGTTTTAAGTCGGATATCAAATTAAAACATTTGCAACAAGCCTAATGATGATTTTGATGTTTGAAGTGTTTTTCTTTAACTTGGCTTGCAAAAAAAATTAGTTTTCACAAGTTCTAATTCTGATATGGATGTCCTCTTGTCTATATTAACAAAAGCCAAAAGCTAAAATGCAGATATAAGCTGAGCAAAGGATGTGTTAGACACATCCACCCACTGATTTGTGAAAATGCTTTGCTAGAACTGACTCATGATTATATATATTTATAAATGTAAGTCTGTACCAGTTAATGAACAGAGAGATCCAAGTAGCTGAACTTGGTTCTGTCCAACAGCCAGTACTGTTGGTTCCAAGATGTTTTCATGCAACTACAAATCTGTAAGCATGGAGTCTGGGCTCCAGGTTTATGTTTTACACACCAACTATCAGAGCGCTGCCATTTGAGCATGATCAATATAACTTCCAGTAGATTTATTTAGAAGAACTTTGCCTATTTTTTTGGTCAACAATATATATATTTAAATAAAATACTCCCAATATCAGCACCTATTGGTACAAACATGGTGCAGTAAGGAGATGATGCTCAAATAATCTTAGTTTTATAGCAATCAAGACAAAATGTGGCAATTGGTAATTTTATTTAAATGTTTTTTGTACCATATTTAAAGTGTTTTTCGCAGTTCTGCTCAGCATTTTTACCCAAAAGGCCTCAGATTTTGCTCTTCTTTTATTAGGGGTGGGCGATACCAGGGGTTTTGTTATCGATCCCATACAAAGTAAATGCAAAGCTATCATCACCAATGCTGATGTCGATACGATAATTGTCATGTTCATAGAATAATTTTGTGATTTTGCCTTTAGATAATTACAATAAAACACAGGACAAAGATTTTAGAAAAATAAAAATGTTTTGTATTAACTGATTACAACAAAATAAAAATATGCAAAAAAAACTTTAATTGGAAACGAGCACAACAAAGAGGACTAAAAACTTACTCCAATTTGAAGACTTAAAACAAAGTGAATAAAAGATGTCACATTAGTATTAATCCCATCATTTTGGTATCAACAGTATCCACGCTTAGATCCATATGCCCACCCATATCTTTTATAGGGTTAAAGGTACAAAATAATGTCACAACCTCTGTCTTTTGTGTTTTAGACGTCCAGTGTGTGGCTGATTACGGTATTGGGATCACCTAGGTCTGGGGTTCCCAGTGTAAAAACTGGCTAGACTGAAACTCTGATGGGTTCTCTGTTCCCCATTTAACCACACATTTGTGGTTGATGAAGTGGGTTTCTCATAAATACTACTGATCGACTGAGTCATTTTCAGTTCTTAATATTTGGACTTGTTAGATTAAAAAAAACTATATACAGTGGGGAAAATAAGTATTTAGTCAGTCACCAATTGTGCAAGTTCTCCCACTTAAAAAGATGAGAGAGGCCTGTAATTGACATCATAGGTGGACCTCAACTATGAGAGACAAAATGTGAAATTTTTTTTTGAGAAAATCATTTTGTCTGACTTTTAAAGAATTTTTTTGCAAATAATGGTGGAAAATAAGTATTTGGTAACCTACAAACAAGCAAGATTTCTGGCTGTCACAGACCTGTAACTTCTTTTTTAAGAGGCTCCTCTTTCCCCCACTCATTACCTGTATTAATGGCACCTGTTTGAAGTCGTTAACAGTATAAAAGACACCTGCCCACAACCTCAAACAGTCACACTCCAAACTCCACTATGGTGAAGACGAAAGAGCTGTCGGAGGACACCAGAAACYGAATTGTAGGCCTGCACCAGGCTGGGAAGACTGAATCTGCAATAGGCAAGCAGCTTGGTGTGAAGAAATCTACTGTGGGAGCGATAATCAGAAAATGGAAGACATACAAGACCACTACTAATCTCCCTCGATCTGGGGCTCCACGCAAGATCTCAGCCCGTGGGGTCAAAATGATCACAAGAACGGTGAGGAAAAATCCCAGAACCACAAGGGGGGATCTAGTGAATGACCTGCAGAAAGCTGGGACCAATGTTACAAAGGCTACCATCAGCAACACATTACGACGCCAGGGACTCAGATCTTGCAGTGCCAGACGTGTCCCCCTGCTTAAGCCAGTCCATATCCAGGCACGTCTGAAGTTTGCCAGAGAGCATTTGGATGTTCCAGAAGAGTATTGGGAGAATRTCATATGGTCAGATGAAACCAAAGTAGAACTATTTGGTAAAAACACAATTCCTCGTGTTTGGAGGAAAGTGAATGCGGAGTTGCATCCAAAGAACACCATACCAACTGTGAAGCATGGGGGTGGCAACATCATGCTTTGGGGCTGTTTCTCTGCAAAGGGACCAGGACGACTGGTCCGTGTACATGAAAGAATGAATGGGGCCATGTATTGTGAGATTTTGGGTGCAAACCTCCTTCCATCAGCAAGGGCAATGAAGATGAAACGTGGCTGGGTCTTTCAGCATGACAATGATCCCAAGCACACTGCCAGGGCAACAAAGGAGTGGCTTCGTAAGAAACATTTCAAAGTCCTGGAGTGGCCTAGCCAGTCTCCCGATCTCAACCCCATCGAAAACCTTTGGAGGGAGTTGAAAGTCCGTGTTGCCCGCCGACAGCCCCAAAACATCACTGCTCTAGAGGAGATCTGCATGGAGGAATGGGCCAACATACCAGCAACAGTGTGTGCCAAMCTTGTGAAGACTTACAGAAAACGTTTGACCTCTGTCATTGCCAACAAAGGATATACAACAAAGTATTGAGATGAACTTTTGTTATTGACCAAATACTTATTTTCCACCATTATTTGCAAAAAAATTCTTTAAAAGTCAGACAAAATGATTTTCTCAATTTTTTTTTTACATTTTGTCTCTCATAGTTGAGGTCTACCTATGATGTCAATTACAGGCCTCTCTCATCTTTTTAAGTGGGAGAACTTGCACAATTGGTGACTGACTAAATACTTATTTTCCCCACTGTAGTTTTTGCTTAAATCTCTTTTTATTTATGGTTTTGAGCCTGGAATAACAAATGTAAACAAAATTTTCAAACTTGAATTAAAACTGACACCAAGACTAATCTTGAATCCTAATCTGTCTTTCCTCTCTGCCATGCAGTTACAAACATAACCTGAGGCTAATTAGAAATTGCATCTATTTTTGTCGTGGCGCACAGTCATCAGTCAATAAGTCCAGTTAATGAGGTTACTATCTGTCCTTCTCTGTGCAGTTGTACATTTGTTCAAACTCCCATTTTTGTTTCAAAGACCAGTTTATATAAAACAAACTTTACAGAAATGTGGACATTTGTTCAAACAAAGATGCCGACACAGCTGTGCAAAATAAAATCCAAGTCCTGTTGCTGAAGGAAACAAATCTTATCTAAGAAAATTAAAAAGCTATAAGTGAATATAATCAGCGAGTGCTTCTGTCACAGTTTCAAATGAGACTATATTCTGTTTAATAGCATTTTGACTCAAATTGTGTGTTTGGACACAAAGCATGATATGGGGGTGTAGTGGGACCGCAGAGCCTCCACGCATGATACTCTCTGCGTGTGACAACTTCCTGGAAAACAGTCAACAGTGGAGTGGATTTGTCTCTATGCTGCGTGGTGCCAAGAACAACAAAAGAGGGTAAAAATGATACAAGTCCTACATGGTTGCTTTTCTTGACAACTGACCTACTTACATTTCAAACAAAGTGCTTTATCTACACTAAAAACCTCCCACCATCCAACGACTTCTTACACACAGTAATAGTCATTTTACAACTTCTAACCTAAACTTCCTTCTCAGGTTGTAAAGGGGGTGGACCAGAATGAAGACTACATGGAGATGACGACTTCAAATACTTGAATGACAAAAAGAAAACAGTTGATGTCGCTGCAAAACTTACATAAATGGAGGAACAACGAGGAGGAAACAATACAGTGCTATACATCACTGTAGCCACGTTCATATGGACATAAGTAATCAGAACAAACAGCCAATTAGAT